CATGGACCAAGTGCACCCCCAAAACATTCCGGACTCCCCCATGGCCAACAGCGGGCCCCTGTGCTGCACCATTTGCCACGAACGCTTGGAGGACACCCACTTTGTTCAGTGCCCCTCTGTGCCCAGCCACAAGTTCTGCTTCCCTTGTTCCAGAGAGAGCATCAAGGCCCAAGGGGCGACTGGTGAAGTCTACTGCCCCAGCGGAGAGAAATGCCCCCTAGTCGGTTCCAATGTGCCTTGGGCATTTATGCAGGGCGAGATCGCGACCATTTTAGCTGGGGACGTTAAAGTGAAAAAGGAGAGAGACCCTTGAGTAGGAAATCCAATCCCTTCAGACTCCTGAAGATGTAGAATTGTGAATATAACAAACTGCAAAAGTTAGTCTTATGTATAGACATTATTTTCGTCGTATGTTTCTATATTTTGAAACAAAGGTATGTACTCTTCTTCATTTGAAGGATAGAGCTGGTTTTTGTTAAACAGAATATAATATTGTTTGGTTACTACATAATACCTGTTCTCATTTCTTTGGCAGTGTGTTGGCTAGGTACAAAGTTAATAGCCCTTAGCGATTACCTGCTGCTGGTGTGTATTTTTGTAAATGTATGCACTTCTCTGAAAGAAGAAGAAAAACACAAAAAAAAGACAAAAAAAATTTTTTTTGCCAAGGCCAGTGTTGATGCCTAAAAAATTGCTACAAAAATGGTGACAGCTTATGTTTTACAAGCCCTGAGTGTTAGTCTTTCACTTTATTTTTTTTCGTTTTTGTTTTTTGTTTGCAAAACGGTGGGGTGGCTCTGGGGGGAGGGTGTTTTTTGTTGCAAGTTTGTAAGGAAAATGTTTCAGTTTGTTTCTATTGATCTGAACGTTTTTAATCTTCATGTGTTTTTTGTTTTTGCTTTTATTGATGCACGGATGCTTTTGAACAGTAGAGCAAAATGCTGTACATGAAAAACATGCTCTGTTTGTCCTTTATACATTTCTGTAGTTAACAGAACACTGTAATGTGCCTTGGAGCTTAGTAAATTGTAATAAATTCAATTGATATTAATACTTCTCGAGTAGCAAGTTTTATTTTTCTCAGAGCTTAGGCAGCATGCACAAGCCATGTTGCCTTTTTAAAAGTCTCCATTATACCAAGAGCCTGCAGCTCGTTGTGGTAATTGTGGCACTTGTACGCACATTTTCACATATATGTAGTAAGATGATGATGTTGATGGTGTTATCAAACTTATCTAAATCTTGGCACTGTGCCTATTTACATTTCACCTTTAATGTTGCAGTAACAGTTGCTGACTAAGCATTTTCTATTTACTGTTTCTGCATCTCATTTCCTCCTCCCTTCTCCCCCCCTCCCAGCTCTCCAGCTGCAAACAGTGTTTGCAATACAGGATGCTTCCATTGCCTGCGCAATTTAATGAGGCTTGAGATTTGAAACTAAGCCCTCTTTCACAAAAACCCAAGCACCACGTGATTAATAATTTCAGTTGATTTTAAGAGCCGTCGTCGAAGCTCAACGTTAGCCATAGACTCTTGGTAAGGCAGGATTGTAGTTGAGCACAGCGCAAAAAAGGGTAGTGGGAAACAACAGCTTCTACAGTTGGTGTTGCAGCTGGTGGGTAGTTACCCCATTTAGGCAATGTCTTTTCATAACGGAGTTGGTGAACAGTTCAGGGGATGTGTTGTCTTTTCAGGTGAGGAAGCTCCCTTAATGTACTGTAATGAAATGCTTTCCTTTTGGCAACAATCGTATGTGATTCTTTGTATAATTAACTATTTGACGTGACATTGGCATTTTCTGGAGATTGGGGAGCAGTGCAATACCTGTTAGGTGATCAACAGGCAAAGTAAATACACAGGCCTCACACTAGCTAGAAAATGCAAACAAACCTAATGTGAACTTTGTCCTTTCCAGTGAGGCAAATGGAGGAAAGATCGAAAACACGAAACAAAAACAGCAGCACTGCAGAAATCTTTTGCAGTTTGCCCAGCAGGACACAGAGCTGTTCCAGATGCAACAGTGTCATAGGTTATGAGTTCTGAGTTTTACTGAATATTAAGGATCCACACCCCCAAACCCCCATAATTGTATGAAGAGGCCCTTTTTAAAGGTCTGGATGGCATTTGGTATCTGCTTGCTTAGTAAGACATTTGTATTCCTGATGGAAAGGATGGTAGAAGCCTTGAAACTATATGCTTAAGTGTGCCTACGGATCTTTGCTCTCTTGTATAGGTACATACTCCAGTGATTTTGCATGTGTGTGGGGGTGGGTTATGTTTTGAGATTCAGTCTTTGGCAACACTGTATCTGTGATTTCAGACAATGACTTTGTGTATATTTTTTTCCTGCCAAGTGGTATATTTGTGCTTAAAAATCTCAGAACATGCTGTTCTTATGTAATGAATTGGAGGGAATAAGGCAGAAAAAGAATGTTTTGAGTTAATGATTAGATCCAACTTACATGTTTTGAGTTAATTATTGGATACAACCTATATGGTTTTTAGAGTATAGATTTGTACTGATCCTATTTTCAATTATTTCTAAGCATGCAGTTCCCACACAGGAGTTTATTTCTAAATCACGAGATAGGGGGACTAGCATTGTGAGCTCATGACTGGTGAAGAAAAAAATTGTACACATGGACGAAATTCGAGTTTAAACCTAATGAGGAGAGAAGTAATATTCATGTGTGAATTGCAACTGCCATTAAAAGAGAAAAACTACTGGCTATTCAACATTTAATTATGTCACAGAAGCGTGAATACCCTGATTCATATAAACACAACCACTCCTGTAATCTTGAAATCAGTCATCAGTAGTTGGAGTTAGGAAGAGCCCTGTTTGGTGGATTTCTTTAATTGCAGAGCATTCTTGAGAAGCTCTTGTCAGTCAGAATTTTGGAAACATAGCCCACTTATGAGACTCATCAATTTGATTTTTAGCAGGCAAAGGAAAGGTAAGGGGCAGTAGACATAGGTGGAAAGTAAGCCTGAAGTGAATTGTAATACTGCAGTTAATTAAAGTAACCGTAGCTATGGGGCATTTGTTGTATGTAGGTTTTTTGTAACCATGTGACCTTTTCTTTTACTCTGGCTCATTAAGCAGCCAGTCCGGGCATATTAGCCAGCATTTCTTTGAAACTACTCCATAGGTTTTTTTCTTTCTGAAGATGTCCACAGCTGACAAACAAGCTGTAACCTTTTTTTGAGGAGAAGGATGCTGCTGAGTGAGTCTCATGTACAGAGATTCAGCTGATTTCTGTATTTTACAGTAATGCTCCCCTCACCCATATTTGCCAGTTATTTAAGGTAAAGCCCAATGTTTGCTTGAATAAATCGTGTAAGTGAATTTATTTGTCCAGGTGGTCATTTGTTGTGCTCTCATTCCTTCTTGTAATGGGGAAGTATTTAAATGGTTTATTTTCCCAAGGAGGGTTGTGGGTTGGTTTTTTTTTTTTCCAGTTAGATTATTCTCGACATTCCTTTTAATAGCCTTGTAGCCTATTTTCTAAGAAATGGGTTAGAACATGTGTGTCACTGGATGTTTGTTTTTTAAGCATTGGCAGCTCTGTGTGAGTTGGAGATGGAAGTGTTTATGCAGTGAAGAGATGCTATGTCCGTTTGGGGGAAATACTACACAGTTCCATCAGGAGCTAGAGTTCACCAATGCTAACTGGTGTCATTTAGTACAAACCTTGTTATCTTTTTTATTTGCTTAGCAATGTTGTGCATATGACCATGCTCTTCCCCCCCTCCCCTTTAAAATTTAAGCTCCAAAACTAGTCAGGACTAACATTGTTTTGAAACTGCAATCTCTTCAAATAGGCTGGCTGCCAGCATAGCTTTGCAGAGCTGCAGCAGTCACTGGAAAAAGGGTTGTCTGCTTCTTTACGCGTCTTGCGAGCTGAGTTTTTCTTCCCCTCAAGGGAAAGGGCTTTGTCTCCTCAGAGCTCTCAGGTTCCCAGCTTACTATGCAGTAGTCACTCTGCAGCTTCCCTCTTCCCTGGGTCTTGCCATTTTCTTTTTTTGTGGTATGCAGCCATTCTCCATTCATAGTAGGATGGTTTGTGTTGTGCATTAGCAGCCTCTTTCTCTGCCAAAGTGACACATCCTGTAGCTTTGCAGCAGAGTACTGAACTGTCACTGTAATGCTGACTCTTGTAAGGCTATTCTTGAAGCAGAACAGCTTCCCCCTTGGCACTCAGCCATCAGAATCCATTACAAGTGTGCATTTTCTACCCAAAACATAGCTCTGTACCTACATAGTTGTCCTCACAACCATCCCCTGGAAGATGCAGAGGGCATGGTTATACCCTCCCATACAGAAATAGGCACTGCTGAGTTTATTTTCAAAGCGTCTGAAAACCATGTACTGAGCTTTTGTTGTTTCAGCCCCTGCCTTAAAACCCGTAAGCAGACTGGGAAGGGGAATGCCTCTGCTGATGGGGTGATGTGAAAAGAACTGCAGACAAGGTCTTTTCCCCGGTGTATGTCTTAAAAGAAGGATTAGGTGTGTGCATGCTGAGCGAGGCTACTCCTGAGCTGATGAGCCAGCTGAACATCTCCCTCTCCACGTGTTTGCCACAGGGCAGCCCAGCCCATGCTGCCGGCTCTGACTGGGAGGCTCTGCAGGAACCCAGCTCTTCTCCCTGGGAACGGGCTCGCCAACCCCCGTGAGAAGAAACATGGGAGATTACATGTCATTTCAAGTTTCTGACAGCAAACCCACTCTCTTTCAGCCATTCAGGGAACTGTAGAGTGAAAAGCAGAAGGGAGCAGTTAGACATGTGAATGGGAGGGGGAGGATGCTCGTCACCAGTCTGTCCAGCCAGTACGGTCTCTGACTGGTTGGACTGGCTGAGCTACTTGGGGCTAGGTAGGTTCAAGATTGCACAGTCTGACTACAGTGCTTGGCTCGCCCAAATGAACCTCGCTGATACCAGTGTGTGTTGCTGCCTGTGGCCACAGCTACCCAGACACGTCCTTCTCTCTCCCCCCTCACTGACACGCAGCCCTGACTACTGCTGGGCTGAGATTGCATTCCCCTCGCTGCTGTGGGCCTTGCCTTCCCCATGCGCCCTTGTAAGGTTATTTGGAGGCGGTGGGAGCAGGGGTGGAGGTGAGGAAGGTCAAGCTTCTTAGGTTTCAGCTGATTTGGCATCCGCTCACAGCCCTCCCCCTGTAGCCCTGCGTGGCCATATGCACTCGCTGCTGCTTTTATGACCCTTTGCAAAGAAACCTTAAAGATGTGAGCTGCTGTCGAATAGCAGCTTCTTTTCAGGAAGACACCCCCTTCTCACAGCGATCAGCTTTAAGAGTGAGAAGACTGTTTTTTCCTTGTCCCCAAAGAGAGCTGTAATGGGGAGCTGCCACTTTCTCTCGGGCTGGCACAGCTCTCCCAGCAGTGCTGGCTGTGCCAGGGTGACCAGCTCCCCCGAGCCTGCTTCACTGGGGTCTTTTCCTCTATGTTTTGGCCAGCATGAAGACCCTTTGCTTTGTTCAGTGCTCTGTGAGTGGAGGCTGAGCCTGGCAAACCCACTGCGGCACGGAGCGGCTTGGCACGGATGCGGCATGGCAGCTCAGGCAGGGACCGGGAGCCAGCAAACCAAACCGGGCTGAACCGAACCGGGCTGGGCTGGGATGGAGAGGGGGCACCGGGCCACCACGGCATGTAATTGCCGCTGGCCTGGGCCCGGCCTAGACAGCCATGTGATCCCTCGCCTGCCTGCCTGCCTGCCTCTGCGCAGGGGATGGGAATGGGGACATGAAACATGTCTGTGCAGCTTCAAGGAGCCGAGCAGAATTCCCCACTGTCATCATCCTCCTCCCCTCCCTCCCTGCAGGCTGCCAGACGGGAGGGCTGATTACAGCTCCGCTATTGTTCAAGTAACCTACAAATGGATTTGCATGGAGGCAGGTTGGGAGGGGCAGGGGGGTGGGATTTATTAGCAGCAGCTAAATTCGTCGGGATTACTATTAGGCTGAGAGCTTCTC